ATTTTACAAAATTGTTGTAGTGTTTTATGATTGTCAGTCGTGATTTTATTGACATTAGTAATATTTTCAATTAATAGTAGTTTTCTTAGATTAAAAAAAATTGTACTGTATATGAAGAAAATATTGTAAATGAAAAGTACTAATATAATTATACAAAACACAACTAATACATATGAAAATCACTACTGATACGTATAAAATTTACTACTACACAATAACTACTAACCATTAGGGATGACAATGGGTCGGGTTGGGTCGGGTTTTGCCAAACCCAAACCCAAACTCATGGGTTTATCCGTGAAAAAAAAAACCCCGGGGTAAAACCCACTGAGTTTGAAAAAATCAAACCCAACCCAACCCGCTGGGTATCCACCGGTTTTTGTCCTAAAAACTCTACAATAACAAGTTCCTATAAAAATTAAAGTCAAATATCAATATCTCAATACAAATTATCCATATATAAAACATCATTCTAGAAAATTTAAGCAAATCACAAATTAACTATACAAATTGTTCAACACCTATCTAGAAAACTCAAGAAAATTGAAACAAATCACAAATTATCCATAAATAACATGATTAATTGAAAGCTTCTTCCTTTCAATTAAGTTTCTTCACTCTCCACTCGATAACATCAACTTCATTCTACACAACTAGAAAGAAAAAATTAGACATGTCTTCACAAACATAAATACAATTAGTTGTTTAGAATGTTAAATATACCGAGAAAATTAATTATATGGGTGTGGGCGGGTACCCATGGGTCGGGTTTACTTAAACCCAAACCTGACCCAAAACCCGTCAACACGGATTTTACCCGCGTTGACCAGGTTGGGTCGGATCGGTACCCGTGGGTTCGGGTTTTGTTGCCATCCCTACTAACCATGGTTTAGGATACCGTACCGTACCGACCGGTCGGACAGGAACAACCAAAAACCAGACCAAATCAGGAACAGTATGTAAAATTAAGGTAGAAAGCCATGCCATCCGTTATTTATGGTCGAACCGGTCTACCGCGAAATACTGGCCCGTTATGATCATGCCGCCGGTTTGCTAGAAAGGAAAGAAAAAACGTCTTGTCCCGGCCTCTCGAAGTCTTATTCGAGCCATTCGTCGTTCCCAGTTCCAACAGAGGTTGTCGCTCGCTGTCCCCCCAAACTAGAATCGATTACATTTCTTGCCATTTCGCCGTTATGATTGATGTTCTTTATTTGCGATGTCGATCCTCCGAGATGACGGTGAAACGAGAGAGAAGGAGTAGGTATGTTATAGTTTGTCATAGGGGGAGCAGAAGACGGTTAGCGACCAAGATCGGAAGGAAGAAGGACTGAAGGAGATGTAATGGTCGTTTTTTCCAGAGGAAGAAGGTTAAAAACAAAGGCAGCTAGGGTTTATTTATTTCCTGTTTTTTAGAAAACAGATGTTGAAAACAGGTGAAAACAACATTTTGTCGTTTCCGAAAACAAAGGCAGCTAGGGTTTACTTTTCATTCTGTTTTCTATTCGTTTCCAAATATGAAAACAGAAAGTGGCAACTTCCTGCTTTTTTCGAAAACGAAAAAATGTCGTTTTCACTTGTTTTCAACATCTGTTTTCTCAAAAACAGAAAACAGAAATGAAAGTAAACAGGACCTAACCTTAGCGTCCTGCCATAAGCAAATTTATATTCTCTTTCTCACGCACTAGGATACCTGGGCGTACATATGGTTGTTAATCTTTGCCTTCACTTATTTTATATTATTAATATCTTTAACAACTTTCAACACTAAAATTTAGTTTTTCATGAAATGTCAATTTCAAACCGCGAGCACGAATCAATAGAAGTTGTTATGTTACCTATGTCTATTTAATGTTTTACAACTTGTTATCCGGTATATTCCGATTTATCTCGGAATGGTATCCTAATTTTGTCGGTACAGTATTTTTATAAAAAAATATTTTTTTATTCCAAAAACTGTATTTTACTAGTACAAAACGATTGAACCACGGTTGTACCACAAAATATCATACCACAGACGAGTCCGGTATGACTTCTGCTACAGTTTCACAAACCATGCTACTAACCAAAATCACTACTAAATACAAAAAAAAAAAACCAACCCTAATCCCACTTCACAGTAGCGTTTCGGCTTGAATCCGACCCCATCGGCTGCCCATTCCATGGAGACCTTGGATCTGGAACCAAGCAACGCCGCCCCTTCCCCAACACGTTTCTGTCACTGCCCGTGGTAAATCATCTGAAATAGAGCCTTTTAGGTTCAAGGTAAATCTTCCATTCTTCTCCTATCAAAATCTTTGTCTCTCATCGGAAGCCTGGGATCCGGGCCCAAACTCGGGGATGGGTCTCATCCCGCCGCGCGCAGTCACCAGAAAACAAATGACTATTAATTTAGTTAGCACCATGCTAAACCTTTAAAAGGTTAACAACTAATCTCATCCCCCCCCCCCTCCCGGGGCAACTGCGTCTTTCTAGATCAAAAAATGGACAAAGGAATAAGAAACAGGCTTGACTGCGTGACTATCACGGTACATATAATATTTTTCTTTAGAAAAACGTGAAAATAAAATAATCAAAGGAAAAAAGGAAAAAATCCAAATTTTACAATTTAAATATCATTATCAAATATCACCGTTAAAGCGTGCAAACTTACGTGGTGGGGAAGGGTTTTGGAACCGTCGGATTTGGTGGGACCCACTTTTTTTAAAAGCCTCTCTCTCCTCTAAGGAAATTACTCTTGACCCCAACTAGTTGGTTCCTCTTGCAGTGAGGGCAGAAGGTACGTTATGTTACTATCCATCATAAAGCGTGCGAAATTCGCCCTCATTATAGTAATTTTTGGCTTCTTTGATGTGGAAAATCGTCGTCGTCAAAAGCAATGAATCATCACTACCACCGTCCGATTCTTTTTTTTCCTTATGAACATAAAGCATTCTCCCTTTCAAATCTTGAATTATTCGTTGCGTTATGGGACAAAGGTACAAAGCTCGTGGGACATCCGTCGACAAAAGTCAAACGACGTCGTACCTTTGCGAGGAACCTTGCCTATCTTCTTTTGTTTTTTTCCTTGTTAGAGTACAACCCAATACATAGAATATTTTCTGTAAGGTTTTTAAAATTTTAGGCATCAAATGATAAGATATTAAAAAATATATGTACTGAACGATAGTTTTTCAACAATTTGTGAATCTACCGATCCAATTGGATATGAATTGAAAAAATTAGATTAGTTGAATTTTGTAGTGGATAAACTGAATTGGTAAATTAATTCAAATTACTATTCTCCTCTTCCTAAATGTAAAGTCACAACAACCTAACCATGTTAACTAAATTTTTTTTTATCTTTCCCGCATAATGCAAAACAATTGTAAACAAATTCGTTTGATCTAAGTTGTCAAAATGTAAAAGTCACTTTGCAAATAAGATTACATTTTCAAATTCTCCATCTGGAATACATATATATATATTCTCCGTTTCATACAATTTCATAAACTTTGTCAAACATTATTGTATCTCAATTGGGTAATTTGTCTGTTAAAAGATGAAACTGAACCAACACAACAATGGGTATCATAAAAGCATGTTTTTTAATATATTGGAAAAATCTGGTGGAATCCATTCTTTGTAACCACTACCTATCAAGTTGTATAGTGAGGTTTGTTTTCAATGAGTGTGGAAAATACATGAATGGCTAAGCTACTATGGGTGAGAATTATTGAACCTAAAGTTATATCTATAAGGGTAGAATGGACCTTTAAAGTCAAATTTACATAATAAGAGTAACAACACATACGTAATTGTACTGGATAAGGAGCATGAATACCAAACTTTTACCTCTGTGTGTTTTGTGTATCAAAACCAGTGACGTGAGTGTGAGTTTGGAGAAAAAAGAGAAAGGGAAGGTCTGATTAGTGACCTTGTTAGTAGATAGATCCATATCACTAAAAAGTGAGAAAAATGTTTATGGTTAACGTTTGAGGAAGCACCTTGAAAATCAAACAAACATGTTTATGATAAAAAAAAAACTTCATTAGCCCACAAGTCACTCAGAAAAACTCATAGACTTTAAGAAAAAAGAAGGTAGAGGGTGAAATTATTTGGACATTCCATGTTCAAGTGGTTGAGAGAGTTCTCTATATAAAAGAAGCAATTCCCACTAGCGATTTTAGTATAGGGCACTTGAATTATGTTAGGGAATGAAAGAGCTACATATATGTAGAGGAATCATATAGGATATTTCATAAATTTAGTTAGTAAATCAATACTAGCCAGACTATAATGTCAATGCGTCCATCCAACAGACAAAAATACCCCAGCGTCCAATCCAAAGACGTTCGACCCTTGCAAGTAATTCTCGCAGCTCAGATGTGAGGATAACAAAATTGTATCGCCAGTGGTAAAGAAGCGGGTGAGCAATCAAAAGACGACCCCTTTTCTCCAGAATAGTAGCCCATTTGGCTCCCACTAAATCCCTTTGCCGAATTCAAAATATTTATTGTGGTCAAACTGAAGCAAGGGGAAAATAAAGACCCAAGTAATGTTGACCCGAAAAGGCTAGCGTGTTAGAAAGTTGGCCCTCTTCTACTTTCTCAACTATTTGATCGGTCTTCATCGAAGACCATGAGAAATATGAATTCAGAAAGAGACAGGAGTTATGGCTGATCGTGGGTCCGTCAGTTAGCGGATGTTAAAACTATGCCAATAATTTCTGCCACAAAGTATCATTCTCAGAATTCCTGCCTAGCCTCCAATTAACAAAGGGGTAATCCATTGCAAAATAAAATCCGTCCAACATAATAAACTACTCGTCACAAAACTTCTCGCCGCGGCTAATGAAACACTAGAGGTTTCAGTATCTAAAAAGTCACCTTATGTATTCCTGCACTAGTGATAAAATGGGGTTGGCATTCTGTAGTCTGCCAAACCAAAGGCCCTAAACTTTCCTTGTCCAAAAAATGGCCCAGATATATCTACAAAATGTGGGTTGGTGGAGAGGAGCGTCTTCAGCAGAAGAAAATCGAAGCCTGGATGTTTTCGTGCAGCCTAGGGAGCTCAGGAAGAGCAGCAACTCCTGCAGATGTCATGACTTCAGAAGACTTCTCGGACAAGTCATCGAACTTCATGAACTGTCCAATCTGCGCGACAATCAGATGGGCGTAGCAAACTGGTGCCACTGTGGAATGGAATTTGCAGGCCAGAGAAGTGAGGTTTGACATGAAAGATAGGCGACTTGGCAAGATTCGAAATGAAACTAAAAAGACAATGTGGTTCTGAGTTAAGAGTGAACATACCGATCGAGATTGATGTTTTACTCCTCTGTTAGCTGTAAATCAAATAGAAAAAAGATAGAACCGTTTAGAGAGTCAAATTTATATTGAAGTGAAACGAATATGATCTTCCCCCGAGCATGAAGGAAAGGCTTACACATAGGAGAGGGAGTGAATGAGGTTTTGCAAGACATCAGGAAAGAAACCTATCTCATCAACCAAGACATGGTAATGAGCTGACCTTGAGGTAACCTGGAATACATGCATGAGATTAGTAAAGTTCTCTCATAACCTCTGAGGAAAGAACATAAACAAATGGTTTCACAGCCATATCAGGGGGACTTACGATGCCGCCATTGTGAGCACTCATTAGAAGTCGTAGTTTCTGGGGTGCAACGGTGGTATCCACAACCATCCCCATAGGAGACAGAAATACACTTTGAATGTAACATCCTTACCCTCATAAGAATGATTTTATTATAATGACGTCATTAATGACGAGAATAATTGTATTGTCCCTTAAGTCGGGAATAAAATGATTGTGGTGATTTAGAATAGATTAGTAAGTTAATTTGGAGGTTTGTCAAACTTTGAGGACTGAACTGGTGGAGAAAAGGAAATTGGAAGAGTGAATAGTAATTGGGTGCCAAGTGGAGATTGTGGATTTGAGAAGAAGAGTGTTTAGAGGGATTTTGAAGGAGACAAAAATCTGCCCTCTCCCTCCCTTCTTTCTCATCTTTCATTTCCTTCCTTTCTCTTCCAAACTGCCACCAACTCCTCTCCATCACCAACATCTTCCATCATCCCAAAAATCTGGAACTTAAGGTAACTAAAGCAAGTTGGGAGTTGGAGAATAAAAAGGGGAGAGCTTGAAAAGGTAAGAAACCATGGTTGTATCATCTTCTTCCTTTCTCCAAGCTAGAACCCTAAGCCTAGAAATGATTCTAGAGAGAGAAATATTAATTTGTTACTTTACAACATGTTAGAAATCATGTTTGTATATGTTAGAAGCTAAAAGAAGAAGGCTAGAGGTGGTTAGAGTTCAAAGTGGTGGAAGTTCCAAAATCCCGTTTTTGGGTTCACTTGAATTGAGTGCCGACTTTAGAGAACAGCTCCAAATAGTCTGAAATTTTGATATATTGTATCCCTATGAATATATTTTAAGTAAAAAAAAAAGAATCAATCGATTTGGTTGAGAGTTGAAGGAGAAATGGCCAAAACCATGAACGTGGGTATTGATTTCCAGCAAGGTTTTTTAGAAATCAGACCTCAAACATGGTCGGGTTTTGACCAACTAAGGCCATACTTCTGGGGAGAAACCTGCCAGAAGAACCCACTAAAAATCCGGCCTCTAGGTTCTAAAAACACGGCCAAGTTTTTGACCATGGAGGTCGTGTTTCCCCCTATTTTGGCTAAAGAGGTGTTTTCATTTAGCAACTTCGATGCATCCAACCCATATGCATTCATATGATTTATCTATTTGATTTGGTTGATTAAATGTGCCTAAATGGATTGATTAAAGGAAAGGAGCAAGTCGGGGAGTCCTCAAAAGTCAAATGACTTGCGGATTAGCGATCGAAGTGTGAGTAAATCTTAACCTATCAATCATATTAAAATGAATATGGTACTCGGGTCACGAAGCGGCCCAAGTATATGAAATGTGAATGTGAAAAAGACTCAAAGATGGAATTCATTTTGATGGTATGAAGTTGGAAATGAATGAATTGTGGATGAAATATGTGAAGACATTTTGTAGGGTTGGTATTGTGAATGCCTCTGCAAATTTCTATTGTGCCTATGCAAATCAGGGTTGTCTCTGCAACTGAATTTTTGTAGAATTAGCATGGTTATGTGATCTAATGAGGGAAAATGGTTGAATGATCATGAAGTGGAATAAAATTATCATATGTGTTGGTTTTGTGATAAATTATTGATGTGATGGCGTGACTTAGGTGACGGTGTACTAATATTAAATACATAATGTATGGTCATGCTCGCATGGAATTTTATGAAATGATGCTTGATGTCTGTGATTGAGATTGTGAAGCTCGAATGGGCTTTATGACATGTTTATGTCATGACATAACATCGAATAACCTATATGGCGATGATGTGACATTGGATGGACTAAAAGACCATGATTTGGTATTGGCTGGAAAGGCGACTATATGGTATTGGAAAGCCGGAAAGGAAAGGATGTGGTATCCGATATCCATAGAGGCGAAAACATGTAAATGATTTGTTGATTTATAGTTTGGGATTAAGTATTAATGGCTTTTTTGTGTGTTATATGATTGTGTGACTAACAAAGAAAGAATTGCTTGATCACCTAAATCAAACCTAATGACGCCTTGTCATGCACTCTATTTGATTGGATATGGTGGCTATATGCCTAGCTCTCTGGGAGAGCGATACCAGGCGTGGTTATTGGCGATGCTTTATGCATTTATTGGCGGTGCTTAATGCATCTATTGGGAGGTGCTTTATGCATCTATTGGCGGTGCTTAACGCATCTATTAGCGATGCTTTATGCATCTACTGTTATACCCGGGGAGTGCATGACCTGGCTAAAATAAAGTCTAAAAGACATGTAATCTAGCTAACTTCAATGTGTCTATATGTGTGTATGTGTGCATGATTTATCATTGAACTATGTATGGTTTTATGAGTAGAGTGCAATAACCATGTGAATGAGATTATGGTTATCTTGGGGAAAGAGAGATAAGAAAGGGGTTTGACTTCACCCAGTTATCATGTTTGTGTTGATATCGTTAGTAGGTTAGTTTTTACTCATTGAGGTGATGTCTCACTCTCGTAAAAAAATTTCCCCTGATTAGAAGTTTTGGACTATAAGTCAAGGAAACTCAGCAAGACTCAGCTCAACATCCATGAGGTGGGATGGTGAACTCGGACTCTATGACTTGTTTATAGTATTTTGAGAGAAGATGATCTTCTCTACTGTCATGTGCTCTAAAGTTTTAAAAGTTTATGTAAATTATGATATGTTTTGTAAACTAAACTGGTTTGTGAAAGGTTGTAATAGGTATGATCTTGTGAATGTTTTAAAGTATGTACGGGGAACCAGAAATCAGAAGTACAAAAACCTAGGATGGAAGCTAACCAGGAGGAACATTGTCAGTGCCTTTAGCCTTGAATAACTTAGTATGGCGATTCTTCTGTGCAATTATCAATGTGAACTTTGGCACATCAGTCTCGCCCAGACATTGGGTAGTAACTATAATATCTTAGGCGAATTCCACATCAACAAAGGACGAGAGAGATCCATGGTTCATAAGTAAGAAATCGGCCTTAACTGACAAGATGCGTTTTGGGGCGAAATGGAGGATTCCTTGTGAGAACTTCCAAGTTAAAAATGCTCAGTGTGGAATACAAAAAGGATGGGTGACCTTATGGGAAGTCACCTTGAATTGCACCTCAAGTCGAAATCCGTGAGGGTCGAGGCCCAAAGTGGACAATATTTTTCGTCGGGAAAAGGTTCAGGATGTTACATGTGGTATCAGAGCCTCTCCGCTTCCCTCTTGAACGATGGTGGGGCAAACCTCAAAGAGGTTGTTGAGTCCCAATGGGGGTGTATGTAACACCTTAGGCAAATACCACATCAACAAAGCACGAGAGAGATCCATGGTTTATAAGTAAGAAACCAATTTTAACTGACAAGACGCGTTGTGGGGTGAATTGGAGGAGTTCTTGCGAGAACTCCGAAGTTAAACGTGCTCAGTGTGGAGTCCAACAAGGATGGGTGAGCTTACAGAAAGAAACCTTGAATTTCACCCCAAGTCGAAAACCGTGAGGTTCGAGGCCCAAAGCGGACAATATCTTCGTTTGTGAAAAGGTTTGGGATGTTACAAACGAAGATATTGTCCGCTTTGGGCCTCGACCCTCATAGATTTCGACTTGGGGTGAAATTCAAGGTGACTTCCCATAAGGTCACCCATCCTTGTTGTACTCCACACTAAGCACGTTTAACTTCGGAGTTCTCACAATAACTCCTCCATTTCACCCCAAAACACGTCTTGTCAGTTAAGACCGGTTTCTTACTTATGAACTATGTATCTCCCCCGTGCTTTGTCGATGTGGGATTCGCTTAAGATGTTACATACATCCCCCCTTGGAACTCAACGTCCTCGTTGAGATTTGTCCCACCATCATTCAAGAGGGACACAAAGAGGCTCAAATACCCACTTGTAACATCCCGAACCTTTCCCGATGAAGATATTGTCCGCTTTGGGCCTCGACCCAAACGATGTTTGACTTGGGGTGCAATTCAAGGTGACTTCCCATAAGGTCACCCATCCTTGTTGTACTCTACACTGAGCACGCTTAACTTCAGAGTTCTCACAAGAACTCATCCATTTCACCCCAAAATCTGTCTCGTCAGTTAATGTTAGTTTTCACTTATGAACCATGGATCTCTCCCGTGCTTTGTCGATGTGGGACTCGCATAAATTGTTACAGTAATGCCACAACAAATATTTAATAAGTTAATAGTAAATAACTGATTGAATTGGTTATAAACATTGATAATCTGGGGCAACTCAATGTTCAACACATGATTGAATTGTGACTCACTAACCCCATCTCTGAAATACACAAGAGAAGTTAATAGTAAAATTTATAAGCACTATAAAGACATAAAACAATTATAGAGAATGCACGCACAAAACAAGTAAAACATGAAAAAATATATGATATTAAGAAGACAGATTCAACCAACACGAAGGGAAAGTAATATAAGGAGGGCGTGTATTTAACATGCATTGTACTAGACATAACTTTCAACTCATAGCAGGGAAAAAGATGTCGACTACTTAGGACTTAGAGATTGATCAACATGCAACAACAACTATAGATCGAACGAAGAGGCCATTTATAAGCATTGTATTTGTACAGCTAGACATAAAGTAGAGCTACAATAACAAGAATTGTAC